ACAATTGAAAAAACAACATGTTAAAAATCAAGTTACATTTCTAAACAGTTTTGTATACTCTAAAGTATACTACAAAACAAAATATACTTGTCGAAATTCAACAGCATGTAGATACCATTTTCGAGAAAAATGAAGTTGCATGGAAGGAAAAGGGGGGACGATTTTAATATCTACTGTAGTATTTCGAGTTTGCACATTTATATAATTAATTACCATAATCTGTTTATTTTGATTTACTTTTTTAAATGTTAGTTTACAACAAACTGAAACTTAAAATAAATTTTAATTTTTTTTAGTTAATAAAATGTTACAATTTCACTGTTTCATGTGATATGTAAGAAATTAAAATATAGTCTTAAATGCAAATACTGTTGGTAGCTAAATGTCTTCAGCTCATTCAATGGTAAGGTCCTCTTTCAATTTAATATTTTGTTAATGTACTTGAGCCGCTTTATTTGAGCAAAGAAAATTCAACTTTTTTTTTGTAGTATCCATTAGAGTTTCCAGAACCATTTAGAAATGTAATAAATTTTGACTTTTAACATATATATTTTTTCGATTGTACCCCTTCAATTTATCGACGACACTGATTTTCAGAAAGAAACCGTTTGCACATTATTCTTAACGTACAGTTGATGTTTACTCATGTATAAATTTTGACGTTTTTAGTTTTAGCCGATTTAAAGATAATTAAGGAAAACCATTTGGAAAGTAACAACTTTAACACACTGTATATCGAGAACAGGGCGTCTAAGAAAGTCTAAGCCTAAGAAAAAAATGTTACATGAACTACCCCCATTATTTTCCCATGAGGAACTTGCACACAAGTTTGTTTGAAACATGAATGGGACACCCTGTATACTTCAATAAATCATAAGAAACTTACTAATATTTCTCTTTTTTTAGATTGTTCTGGATGTTACTTCTGTAATGGAGTATATAATCCACAACAATGTGCCTTTAGTCCAAGTTGTCCTTTACCATGCCGAATAAGAGGATGATTATAACAAAATAAATATTTGTAAACATTAGCACAAACCCACAAACTACCAAAGAAACAGATAGGTACTGCCAATAATAATAATCTCTATAATATTTTATATGTAGTGATTACGTTAACAAAGTGTAACATGCCACGCTTTAAACAATAATATTTTTACTATCTTTTAAGTAGGTAATGTTTTATTAAATCAATTCTTATAAGTACAATAATTTTCTTTTAAAATCCCTTCCCAAGTAAATTATAAAATTAGAACATACGTTGATACGAAATCGAGAATGATAATAATTAATTATTTAAAGACGTAGGTAACGGATCTGAATTAAAATAAAGCAACCTTTAAAGGAATTGTCGCAATACAGGTCTCGAGCAGATTTCAAAAATTCACTCATGTTTCCAATCGGAACCGAGAAATCATCAAAAGTCGCTCTATGCAAGGCCCATTGCGGCAAGAACCGAGAATAACACTAGCCAAGCAGTGTTGCCGGATGGAAATTTATGTCAACAGTAGGAATGTAGCCAAAAAAGAGGAGATTTCTTTCTTCAACAGGAGATTTTAATAAATATATTTTTTGATAGAGGAACACAAGTACATGCACAAAATATAGCAAAATATATAAATGTAGGAGTTCGTTTAATAGTTTTCAATTACATCGGTACGTTCATCGATCTTCTACTCGTAGTACTAGATACTGCATAGACCCAATTTGTTTTGTTCAAGGGGGGTAACTTAAGGTCCTTTACTTCTGATTGGCTGCTTATTCGGGCATGCTCGACATTATTTGTTTAGATCATAAAAAATATATTCTAATTAATGACTTATGTTCGTCTTGAGTTTTACTTACAAATTTTGTTGTGTATTATAAATGTTTTGAGTGTGTGAAGTGATTTTGTGACAGTTATTAATACCATATTATTATATACGTCCGGAAAGTCCTGCTTTATTTGTAGCAAATTTAGAAGAGGATCGGCCATATCGTTTCATACGTTAACTTTGTGAGCATACATGGGCGTAGATTCTTTTAGGTGTAACACACCTTTGGAATACTATTGAACATTAATATAATTTATTTACGATATTAAATGATCCGTTTAATGAGCACCCATTACAATTAGTAAAACTAATTTTAAAAAATTATTTCAAGGTTTAGAGTGCATCACGAGACATTTAAGTTAAAAGATAATGTACAAAACAGTCAGAACTCAGAAGCTTACGGACTAAAACAATTTTATTTAAAAATCAATAAACAATTTTTTTATTGATATTGTCACAGTATTAATTGCAATTAGAATTATTCAATACTAAATGTAGGTACTAATATATTTACTTATTTTATTTTGTTAATACTTTTATAATATACAATAACTTACATATGTAGTTTATATCCTTTATTTTGTTATTTATTCATTACTTTCTTTTAATAGTAGTTCTTAACAATTAATAAAAGTTTTATCTTAATAGGTATATTTTATTTGACACTAATTTCCTTAAAAGCGAGATGTTGGAAGAGCACTGTAAACTTTAACTTTACATTACCATCAAATTTCAAAACTAATAAGTTACTCACATCAGTCTCAGAAACCATCTGCTACAAAAAATGCTTTTTGAAAAACATATTAATAAAAGTAGGGTGAGATACAGTACATATTTTAACATAATATACGAGTATACTATGTAAACTTAGATGTTGATAAATTAGTCATCAGTAAATAACTATACTATAAAATAGTCAAATGAAGATTTAGTCATTCTGTAATTTTCCCCCATAACAAGAATTGTACACTATATTGTATAAGTCAAATGAAAAAATTACAATTTTTACAAAAACTGATTTTGCTACAGTTTCTATAACCCCATATCATTTGCAAAAAAATATATATTTTGCTAACCACAGCCTTTATTATGTCAAGATGTACTGCTTTAAAATTAAGTTTGACTCAATTATTTCCGAAGATAAGACTTCTTGCATTTAATACTAAATTGTAATTAAAATTCCTAATGAACCAATCTAATGTACTACGCCACTGGTATATAGGACTAACGTCAAATCTTTGCTCCCCGCCTCATTCCGCAGAGCTCCAAGTCCACGACTTTGCGTATCAAAACAATCTCAATGCTGTTAGATAGCCTATGCCGTATCTAGTACTATAAGATCGATGATAAACATAACCAGGTTTTTGTGAGGTCAAGTGAAAAAGGAAGAAGAAAAAGATAAAGATAACCTTGATTTTAAGACCAAAAATATAAAGCGATTTGTAAATAATTTTTCTAACTGTTCCAAACTCATGAAATGTGTAAAATATCTTCAAATCAAGTTTTAAAGTTATATAAAGATTTACTGAGATACGGCCAACAATTAACATTAACAGACAAAGATTACTTTTGCAGGCGAATCATAAAAGAATTTAAGAAAAATAAATCTTTAACTGATCCAAAAGATATACAGTATAACTTTCAGGTAAGATATTTGATACCTATTCTAACAGTGATTTTTATAATGTAAGATTATTTTAGAAAGGTGTCACACTGCTGTTGAGACGTGCTGTTCAATAATGTTTATTGTAAATAGGAAGATAATTTATAAACTCCCTATTTATGAAATTTTTTGTAAAAGATGTAAACACAATATAGATTATTCTAGGGTTCCAGTATTACATGAGAAAGATTTACAAGAAATGCATGTAAGGGGTTCAGGCCCTGGAGGCCAAAAAATAAACAAAACGTCAAACTGTGTTGTTCTAAAACATATACCATCAGGTAGGTAGATTGGTTTATTACACCGTTTTTGTATTGTAAAATTTAGTGTAAAAGAAATGAATAAAATAAACAAAAAAATTAATAAATGTATTTAATATGCTTATAAAATATATTATTGAGAATATTACTATTATGACTATACAATTTCATGTTTGCTACTCAGTTGGCTTTTGAGATTTTTAAAATAAACTATTAATAGAGCACACCCTTTTAGATTTTTTTTCTTTGATACTAAATATGTTTTTATAGCAGTTTTACACAATCAGACAAATTCGTGAATCTATTCACAAAGTAATTGATGAATTGTAACTATACTACAAAGTCCAATTTTTTATTGTAATTAGGTAAAATTTGAATATTAATATTTATTTCATAGTAACTTCTAATAATTGATGTTATTTACTATGCCTTATACTTGTTACCTTATACTTGTTTTATAATGTGAATGAGATTGGGATTAATAAGGAAAAAATCTAAGAATTAGTGCCAGTTCTAATCTTACAATTTCTCCATAAATTATTCATTAATCAAGATCAGAAAGTTCATCAATTTCTTTGACTGCAAGGCTGCTATTAAAGCACTATAATATGTATATTTTTTGTAGGTATTGTCGTTAAATGTCAAGAAACAAGATACTTAGAACAAAATCAGAAGAGAGCACGTTCTATACTTCTTACGAAGTTGGATAATTTAATGAATGGTGAATATAGTGTTGAAGCTCAAGTAAAAGCAATTGAAAATCAGAAAAGTATTTCAAAGGAAAAGAAAAAAGATAAATTAAAATCTCTTAAAGAAGATTGGAGAAAAAGAGAAAATTTGTTATAAATGTTTGTTTTGTATATTGTATAGGTATAAATAATACAAAATGACATTTTATTTCAATAACTACAAATAATACAATAAGTCGATTTAACTAAACTTGCCTTTTAGTCCAAAAATTGATAATAACGGTGCTACAGGGTGTCAATGTTGAAAAAATAAAAAAAAAATTTTAATATCAACTACTTTGAGCTAATTTTGTGAAATTTCGTATCCATGGGTTTTTTGGAATGAGAAATTCAAATTAATCAACGATTTTGTTGTATCTCTTAGAAGGCGCCACAAGCGACCATTAAGAGCATTTAAAGTGCCAAAACTTTTTTGTGCCACGGTGTATTTGATTTTGAGTTGGAAAAATCTTTTCCTCCAACTTTTTCTGTTTAAAAAAGATATGCCTTGCTTATATCTCGAAAACCAACCGCTTTCAACAAAAATGCATTTAAGTTTGTAAATTTGTTTGTATCTAAGCTTAGATACTGAGGACCTTTTTTATAGCAAATTTAATTTCCTATAAAAATGTGATGTATGTTTTTGCTGTAAGCCCAGCCATTTATGAGAAAAATGCAAAAATCAATAAAAATTTACCATAAGAATTTTTATCAGTGATACCGTTCGTCACATAGATCCTATTATGTTCACTTTCAAAGAACAAATATTTCCCTATAATTATAGCCTATGGACAATAAGTTAATGTAAAATGTAGCCGAGATATAAGATAATTAAAAAAAAAACAGGTTATGTGTTAATTGAATCGGAATATTTTAAAATGAAATAGCGATTACTTAAAATTAAAATTAAGAGCTGAAATTTGGTGCGAATTTTTTTTCTTACTGTTTAGCACAATATTTCATCAATGAAGCGAAAAAAATTTTTTGTCAAATGAAGCCGTTGCTCCATTTCACCTAATTTAAATTCCCATAATTTTTTTATTTGGGAAATGTATCACTCTGTTGATAGTGATAGTGGGGGACAACTGTGAAACATTATTGAAGATACTGTTCACAATATATGAAGGAATACTGAAAGAAGTCGTAAAACTAAGAAAAATAAATATTTTTTTCCTTTACCACTTTTTCGAAATATCAATATTAACGAAAGTACAGGGGGTTAAAGTTTTGTTTAAAAATTTAAAAAATGTATGATTATTTTATTAATCTTGCTCTCAAAAAAAAAAACACTCGATTACTTCTCATTTAATAAAATTTGTTATATATTCATGAATACAAATAATTAATTTGTTTTGTATTATTTTAAACAACCCTGTAAAAATGTTGCTAAATGTTCAGGAAGTTCCTGGTTTCGTTTAATTAAGAATTTAAATATTTCTTTAAAATCTCCGCGATTTGAAGACTCTATAGTTCATTATGGCCTCGGAAAGTTAGTTTTTGTTTGACCAACGTAATAGTCATATCAATTAAATAGCCAATTAATAATCGATTTTTGCGAACATTTTCGTTATATAAAATTTTATTCAAACTGGCGTTCTCCCTCAATGCATCTTCAATGGTTGCCCTATTTTGCTATTATCGCCTTTTGAATGAGCTCTTTAGAATCTTCGTGCATTTTGGTACTACGTTAAGTCCCTAAAACCATCTTTTGAACACCACGAATTTTTTGCATTACCCAATAAAATACATGGCCAGCAGTACAAACTTTCTTTATATGAACTTCCACATAGCCATTGATAATTATCATACCAAGAATATTGAAATTTTCGCGAACTTTCCCGACCTCTTCTCTCTTCGTTAAAAATTGCCGTTATTTTTGGTATTGGCCAACTATTCGATATTTGTTGTTTCTTTACTTCATCTTGAAAAAGGCGTTTCAAGTAGAGATAAAATAATATCGTGGGCAGAATTCATTATTATCTATGTATATCGATAATATATCTATTAATTATAAATTTAGTTTTACCTTGTTTTGTTGTAAGGAAGTTGTTTTTTATTTATTTTAAATTAATACCTGCCTTGTTCTAAAGTCTTTGTACTATGATCACTCACGCCTATACGTTATGCACAGGTACCGCGAAACTGACACTGTAACTGTAAGCTAGAGAAAGAGAAATTGGGCCTCAAATTCCCGCGTAAACACGTTATGTCAACCGCCTCGCGTGGAGGGGGAACTGTAGTATACTGTAGGCAAGTGTGACGCGGCTACAAGCGAAGAAATTCTGGCCTCACTGTGGTGAGAACTAGTGAGGAGTAATAGTAATGCCGCGTCGATGGAAACGGGGAGGGGCGAGATATTCAATATTCAAACAATTATTTTATGCCGTTACTTTGATTTTTGGTAAATGTAATAGATAATTAGAAATTAGTTTACCTAACTGTTTATTTAGGTTAATAGTAGAATAGTAGGTATTAAAATATATGGTGCGAGAGCCAAATTTTACAGTGAGGCCCGGCCTCAGTTGCTTCATACGACGAGCCGCCACTGCTCATAGGCATTGTTCAATATGAGTAATATGACCCAGTTTCCTATACACAGGGTGATTTTTAAGTTGGGTAAATCCTTCTACCGCCAAATAAAGCTAAGAAAAATAAATATTTTTTTCCTTTACCACTTTTTCGAAATATCAATATTAACGAAAGTACAGGGGGTTAAAGTTTTGTTTAAAAATTTTAAAAATGAATTTTTTTCTACGAAACCGCTTGTGATATGTTAATGAAATTTTACAGGCGTTGATAACTCCAAAAGTCGCATATTATTCGATAAGCAGAATATTTCTAAATCTATCAGTGGCGCACGTACCAACAGATAATTCAATATTTTTTAAGAAAAAATGGTACGCTACTGTTTTTTCGAAACATAAAAATAATTTTTGATTTCTCTGTTCAGTTCTGAAGAAGAAAGCTCTCTTGAGTTTTTTTCACACGACTCATAGTTTTCAAATAAAAAAAAAGAAATAGTTTTATTCCACATTCAAAATCAAATGTAACTTTAATTCAAAATTACTTAAGTAGGTATGTTCAAAATGAGCTCCATTTACTTCGACGCATAGTTCAGCTCGACGTAACCACTGTTCAGTCACTGCGCGAAATAAAGAAACTGGTTTCCCTCTAATCGTAATAGCAGCCTCCTCTATGCATCCAATCAATTCTTCCACTGTTTCCACAGGAATTTGGTATACTAATGATTTCATGTAGCCCCACAAAAAAAAAGTAACATGGAGTCAGATTTGGAGATCTCGGAGGCCACTCCACTGGACCACCTGGACCAATCCATTTATTTCGAAAAGTATTGTCCAAGAACAATCGTACCTCCCTACTGAAGTGGGGGGGTGCCCTGTCTTGCAGAAGCCACATGTTTTGCCTAACGTTCAATGGCAGTTCCTCCAAGAGAACTGGCAGATCATTTTGCAAGAAGTTTAAATAATTTTCGCCCGTTAAACGATCTGGTAAAATATGTGGTCCAATGAGCATTCCATTCACAAGTCCTGCCCATACATTGACGGAAAATCGATGTTGAAAATTGGTTCTTCTAACAGCATGTGGATTTTCAATAGACCAAAGGTGCGTATTTCGGAAGTTATTTATACCGTCACGACTGAATTGTGCTTCGTCCATAGCTAAAATGGTTTTAGTAAAATGTTCATCATCTGCAGCTTTTGTAACAGCCATTCACAGAATTGAAGTCTGCGTGGATGATCGGTAGGTTGTAGCACCTGTACACGCTGAACGTGAAAAGAGTATAACTGATTTTCGCGTAATGTTCTCCATACCTTGGTTTGACTCACTTCGACCTGTCTTGCAATTTCCCGAGTGCTTCTTGTTGGGTCTTCCTCGATAAGATATAAAACTTGATCTTCGATTTGAACATTTGCACATTGTCGGGGTCTCCCTGCATGACCTCCGCAATGTTCCTTTAATTTACCAGTTTCTCTGGCTCTTTGAACTAAATTGAGAAATTGTTGGAGTGAAGGACTGACTCGCAACGGAAATCGTTCAGCGTATAAGCGAGATGCAGCAGTGGCATTTGTACGACACTCCCCGTAAATAATCAGCATATCAACTAATTCATTATTTGAATAAACATAAGCCATCTTTGTATTGGTACTTTAATAATATTACGGAAGCAATTAAATTGACAGAACATTGGTTGACAATAGGAATAAACAAAAACAAAATGTGAAAAAGTGTGATTTGATTTTGAATTAAAGTTACATTTGATTTTGAATGTGGAATAAAACTATTTCTTTTTTTTTTATTTGAAAACTATGAGTCGTGTGAAAAAAACTCAAGAGAGCTTTCTTCTTCAGAACTGAACAGAAAAATAAAAACTTATTTTTATGTTTCAAAAAACAGTAGCGTACCATTTTTTCTTAAAAAATATTGAATTATCTGTTGGTACGTGCGCCACTGATAGATTTAGCAATATGTATTCTGCTTATCCAATAATATGCGACTTTTGGAGTTATCAACGCCTGTAAAATTTCATTAACATATCACAAGCGGTTTCGTAGAAAAAAAATAATTTTTAAGATTTTTAAACAAAACTTTAACCCCCTGTACTTTCGTTAATATTGATATTTCGAAAAAGTGGTAAAGGAAAAAAATATTTATTTTTCTTAGCTTTATTTGGCGGTAGAAGGATTTACCCAACTTAAAAATCACCCTGTACATAGGAAACTGGGTCATATTACTCATATTGAACAATCCCTATGAGCAGTGGCGGCTCATCGTATAAAGCAACTGAGGCCGGGCCTTACTGTAAAATTTGGCTCTCGCACCATATATTTTAATACCTACTATTCTACTATTAACCTAAATAAACAGTTAGGTAAACTAATTTCTAATTATCTATTACATTTATCAAAAATCAATGTAACGGCATAAAATAATTGTTTGAATATTGAATATCTCGCCCCTCCCCGTTTCCATCGACGCGGCATTACTATTACTCCTCACTAGTTCTCACCACAGTGAGGCCAGAATTTCTTCGCTTGTAGCCGCGTCACACTTGCCTACAGTATACTACAGTTCCCCCTCCACGCGAGGCGGTTGACA